TAAATAAAATGGAACTTTTGAATTGTAAACATAAGTACAGGACAACGTCTGTCGGGTCATCTATTATAATATATAAATGAGAAAGCTAATTGTGATATATACTCTATTAAAGCATATTTCGAAATCTATTTGATTTATATCAAAAGCAAGGTTAAATATTATATAAAAATGCATTACAATAATGAGCATTAGGTAACATTAAAAATTATCTATGAAAATTTTTGAAGATAATTGTATTAACTTACATATGTGTTATTATTTCATTATAATTTTGTAACACTTTTATCATAATTAATTTTAATAGACTCGTATTCATTATGAAAACGACATTAAAGATAAGTATTTGAAGCTGAATTACTTAGAATGGTATTTTTCTATGAATTCAGATAAAGTGTGATATATTATACGCATATATATATTATACGCAATTTTATCGGTTTCTTACTTCTGCCTATTTCTTCTTACTTATCTTGCCACTTACGCCTAGTCACTTCCCGTAGGGTAAGTTATAGTAATCGCAAAAAAAATCGAAAATGAAAATTTTTATATATCTTTTACGTTTCAAAGGTTTCTGAACATTTTGGCATACCTTAGAAAAAAAAATGGATGTATGTGTGTGTGTGTGCGGATTCAAATTTTCGTCGACGATTTCGGGAACACCGATCAACCGATTTGAATAATTCAAAAAGCATTCGATTCGTATTGATAAAGAGACGTGCTGATTAGTTTCTATCGGAGGCAGATCTAGCCGTTCCAAAGATACGGGGCAAAAAGTGCCAAAAACGGTACCTCAGTTTTTAAGAGAACGGAGCGTCCGATTTTAATAATTCAAAAAACATTTTACTTGTATTGACAAGATGAAGAATAGATCAAATATTTGGGAAGGCAGGTCCAGCGGTTATGGACTCACAATAAAAATAAGTTGAAAAAATGTCATTTGGCGATCAAAAATGTTTATTGGACTTATGCACATCAACTTATCAGATATTTTTATAGATTTTCATAATGTGTACACATTTTGTGTAAATTTTTTTGGGTTCCGTTCCAAGATTTTTAATTACGGTACGGGAAGTTCCAGCAATTTGCCTTAAGGCACGATGCCATGCACCCCCACTAGTTTTATTATTTCTTTCTTCAATTTTCGAGAAATATTCTCTTTGCAAGGGAAATATTTCATCCCGCGCAATAGTCGGTTATCAGTTTTACCTTTGTCCGCTAGAGAAAGCCAACTTTCTCAAAGCAGAAAAGTTTCTTATTGAAATGTTTATTTGTTTGATTCTGCGGAAAATTTATAATTTATGACAAAACTATCAAATGATACAGCAGAATTCTCATATTCGTGAGTAATGGCAAAAGTTACAAACTAAGGGTACACATGCCAACGAAATGTATGCTGATCATTCATCTTACTATGCGGAAACTGTTGTAAGCAAATAGATTAAATTGCAATAATAAAGATAAACAAGGAAATCCAATTCAAATTAACTAATTAAACGTTATTTTCTGAAATATTAGAAATTAATTTAATTTACAATATATTCATAAATACAATGTCTATTTCCTTATCTATGGGCTATACAATCAAAACACAATAACTTACGCCAATACTTTTTAGAATTATTGCTTTAGTTTTACTTTAAATCTTTCTATTAAGTGTAGTAGTATTCTGTTATAAAATGTGTAGTGTTAAAATTTCTGCTGAAAATTTGAAAAAATAAAACGGCGAAAATTTTGTTAATACCATACCATGGTATTAGCAGTTGAAAAGCAATTATTGTGTAAAATTAATTGATACATTTTTGGTATTGAAAAATCGACTCAAATAAAAACAACTAGGTATATGTGTCATTTTACCTCCAGAAAAGATGCCTTAGTTGAATATTATATTAATTTGCGAGTAATTTATAAGTATAGCGAGTTGCTCTAGGTCCTTATGATGTTGGAAACTATTGCAGATTGCTTATTTTTGTACAAATTTGCTTGTTGACGTGTTAATTATCTTCGACAAATAGCTTAAATATTATACATGATTGAACAAGCTCATGTCTGATGCATTGATAGATATACTCGTATTATCTAAATGAGCGGCTCTTTATTACAAATTCTAAGGAACTAACTTGTACTAGGGCTCTAAAAGTTAATAAAGAGTGCGCGTAAGGTTCACACGCGATTGAAGTAAAACTTATTTGCTAATTGCTACTGTACAAGATGGCATTTAAGTAAAAATCATATAACAATTTTGAATAATGTTTATTAGTAATATGGTAACACTCGTGATGCACACATTTATTAGTTTCAACCATTATACACATTTATATAATGATAAATTATGAATTGTAATTTATAATAGCATTAAAATATGTATAATATTTAAAAACAACATGTAATTAAAGTCATGCTTCAAATATGACATGATCGGTTTGTCATTGTAATTAGCATTTAGAAATGAACCTTCATTAGAGAAATGAAGTAATTGCTGATTAATAAATTCTATAATATTCGTTCACACAGTGGATTATGTTAAACAACGCCTAAACAAATATTGTTTTCGCAACTTCACTCATCATGTAATTGTGTTTGAAAAACTTCATGTAATTAAAATTAACATACATTCATTGACTGCTTGTATTTTTTTTATATTTTCGCTGGCGATATAATCTCATTCTTTGAACAGCTGTAATATCTGTCTTGTCTAAAAATATTTTCCATTTTAATAACTTCAAAGATTTATAGAAACTACTAATAATATAGAAATAATTTCTAATCAAGTAAAATATTCTTCTGACTCAGGCATTTTTCATTAAATCAAGATTTGTACTACAATGTAACTTTACAATGTTTATTTATCTATGCCGATTTCCTTGTTGATATGGGAACGCATACAACGTTGATGCCGGTACGCATACAACGACAAATCTCTATTCACATATACGACGACTAATCTAATTCGACCCGTATTGAAATGATTTCATCGAAAGCGAATGACGTACAGTTTTGCCGTAACAGACTTCCGTTGCATTTGTACGGATTTACACTCTAGTCGCGTCTAAAGAAGTTTTACTTCAAAAATTTATGAATGCAATCTATATTTAATAAGAAATGTGTTTGAATCTTTCTTTTTGAATACATGCCGTAATAGAGCATATAATTTAGTGTACATTTGAACAGGTACTTTATCTGCTTTTCGGCTAATGTAAAAAAGTAGGCCACCATCAGTCTACGAAGGAACGTGAGCGCTGACACAAGAATGATGGTCTGTTTTTTGCGAGTTTACTATCGGGAAATAATGGCTCACACACACAGTTTTATATATACCACTCACATTGATTATTTAAATATAATTCATATTCACACATACACTCACATTTATTATGATTTTTGGAGTTCTGAACTAAAGACTCAAAAGAAAACTATTATCAAAGCTACTAACTAATAAAATAGCCTGTAAAAAATAGTTGATTCAAAATAAAACGTATAAGATATATGGGGTGGCCCATTTAAAAATTGGAATTTATCGATAGCAACTTGCCTGTAGGCCACACCGTGCGGAATTCGAAGTTGCGATATATAGGAAAAAAACTAAGAATTTTGATACCTTTCTAACGATGTATAATACTTTATATGTTTTCTTTACAGAAATATCGAATCGTGAGGAGTATTGCTCCAACCTAGCCGCACTTTGCATTTTGACAAGTTAACATCTACACATATTGCTCTATAACATCAAAACCGTAAAAGATACGAAAAAACTTTGTTCGTACGAAAGATGCAGAATAAAATTATGAATAAAATGGTATATGAATGGTTAAGTGTGTTTATATAATTTTCTCAAGATTTTCCGATTTTCCTGAAATTTTACGACGGCAACTCGCCTGTAGGCCACACCGTTCGGAATTCGAAGTTGCGATATATGGGAAAAAAACTAAGAATTTTGAGACCTTTCTAACGATGTATAATACTTTATATGTTTTCTTTACAGAAATATCTAAACGGTAAGATCACTAGATCACTAGGACCACTAGATGGAACACCCATTATTAAGATAGACACGATCTAGTCTAGTCTAATTATTAAGATCAATATTAGAACAATTTTACCAATGATAAGCAGTTCTAATCTAATCAAAACTTCTCGATAACAGAGTGTTTAAATCTTACAACTTTGCTGTAAAATCGAACTGGTTGTTTAATTTAATTTAAAAAGAAACAGTATAATTGCAACAGTATCTTTATTGAAAATGAATTATATACCATACATAATAATTTACAATTTAATTCATTACCGTAATATCATAATGTACCATAAAATAAGTGTACTACACAAATCTTTACAATTCAAAACCGTGAACCAACGCAGTGGAAGCACCGATTATTACCATATTTGTAGTAAGATATAATTGAAAGTAATAAAATTAAGCAACTAATTATGCATATATAAAATGCAAACATATAAAAAAAAAATATCATAAATGAAATAAGCGATAACATATCCTAATTGTAAAAAGTATACAAATGTACTTAAAACTAACTTTTATAAGCATGAACGTATAAAATGGATATAAATTATTAATAGTAATAGTAAACCTAACTTCAAAACCTACATAAAAAGGTTGCAATAAAATTTAGCTAAGATGAGAGTAAGAGTAAGATAAGATTATATATTATTATTTTAAAACTAAAGGGCAAAGAAAATATTATATGAATATTTTATAAATTGTCAACAATGCCAAAAAATTGATAACAATACTTACAACAATGAAAAATTTGTGTAACTACCTTTAATCAATGTAAAAAGCTGTTTGAAAAAAGATTTAATCCTATCCATAAGATAGAAAAATATTAACTAAAAATCAGTTAAAATACTCATCCCACTTTTTCTGAAAGAACAAATTATGCATAGGTTCGTTTTTGGCTAATGCTATATTTTTTATTTGTTTTTATATATTCCGGGTAAATTATTACTACATAAATACTTTTACTGAATCAAATTATAGGACTTACCTCACATTTTGTATATAATTCCATTTACTCTCTGCTATCATATTTGGCTTAATGTACCATCCCTTCCTTTAATAAATTTCTTGATATTTAGCCACAAAACATCCCCCATTTTATTCACTAGTCGATTAGATAGCACATGAATTAAAAAATCCATCACGTAATTCTTACAATTTCCAAGAATATTAGAAACCTGAAATTTAAACAAGGATTGGTTTTAAGTTTATAATAGACATTAGTATTTGCATTTTATTTTTGAATAAGTGAGACAAGGATACTTTGAATCTGATACCAAAATGAAATTCTGTAAATCAATATATGTAAGCTTTTTAGTACGATATTCTATATTAAAAGAAATTAATAAACTATGTCTTATATTTAATCTAAAAGTTTCTTGACCTCAATTAATTGATTTGTAAATTAAGTAATGTACTATTGAATATAAATATATAGTACAGAACATAGATAAACAAGTATAAATCCAGATATTCAATCCAGGCCAGTTTCAATCTATATATCCTTTCATATTTTCCTTTTTATACAAACTCGCAAGACTTTGACTCATCTAATGATGTATGTATGTATGTATATATATATATATATATATATATCATATCTATATGTATCATAAGTATATATATATATATATATATATATATATATATATATATATATATATATATATGATACAGTTTTGCAGCCACAAGTTGAAAAATAAAACCAGAAAGTAAATATAAATCTTTTTAATACGTTTCGAGCTATTCTGCTAGCTCATCATTCAGCTAAAAAATAAACAGAGTAATAAAACAAAGTAACAAAATAAAAAGATTAAATATTAAAAAGATTTATATTTACGTTCTGGTTTTATTTTTCGACTTGTGGCTGCAAAACTGTATCATATAATGTTTCAAAGTCGAAACAAACAATATCAAGATATATATATATATATATATATATATATATATATATGCATATATACAATTTGCAGACACACTAAGACGAGTAGGACACATCTAAGAATGTATCAATACATATATACATTTATATATTTAATTTCCAAATTAATTTTATATAAAGTGACGTTTTAGAACTTGTTATAACAGTCAAGTTACACTATCTGATTCTTCAGGTATTTGTATTATCTTTTCTCGTAGTCATAAATTAGCTTGAGCAAGCACATAGCATAAAATAAAATAGTAAATTATGACAATCTGACTATGTCAAAGCCAATTTAAAAATAGAGTGAGTATCAATTTTTTACTATGCTGAAACTATTGCAACCGTATTAAATATGCATAAAAAATATATAGATTTACAAATGCAATTTCCATACAAACGACTAAGGCTATTTATACATCTAAGGATGTATAAATCAATATATACATTTATATATTCCAATTCCATAAACCATAAAGGTCAGGATTCATTTAACACGTTTGCAGACATGAATGCTTACGACTCATTTTCATTACGATGCCGAAGGACATGAATGCTATAGTGTTCAAATCTTAAAATCAATTATTTTGAATTTAATTTTATATGACCTGATGTTTTTGTACTTGTTATAACAGTCAAATTAGACTATCTGATTCTTTAGGTATTTGTATTATCTCTTCTCGTAGTCATAAATTAGCTTGAAAAAGCACATAGTGTAAAATAGAAGAGTAAATTATGATAATCTGACCATATCAAAACCAATATACAAATAAAGTGTGTATCAATTTTTTACTATACTGAAACTATTGCAAACTTAGAGATAGATTTACAAATGAAATTTCCATACAAACGACTAAGGCTATGGCACATCTAAGGATGTATAAATCAATATATATTTTTATATATTCAATTTCCATTCTAAGTAGTCTAGGACTCTTCTAAGGGTGTTCAATTAATATCACTTTTATATATAAGCTATGCAAGATAGAACATTTCTAAAGATGTATAATCATTATGCATAAAATAATAACCTCAAACTTTATTCACGTGTGCTTCTCCGACGTTGCCTAGGTTACAACATGACATTTCTTTAGAAATGGCCGCGGAAGACTGATGGTTTGTGCAATTACAATAGATCAAAATGTTTAGTGTTGCCACGTGAGTGTTTTAATCACTGGGATATTTTTTACGAACAGAAGGGATACTTTAAGGGTCGTCCGCTCAGATGTGATGGCGCTGCTTTTGGCATTCAAATTAATGGCGCAAAATTTGAAAAAAAATTAATGAACTTTAGCAATTGGGTATTTGAAACTAAATTTGGTACATCTTTGGTATATGCATCATCTCATCTGAAGAACCAAATAAGCAACGTACCACCGTTTGAAGGGATAGATATATATTTATATAATATATTGAAAAATGCATCTTAGTATTTCAGAATGTTTATTATTTGTTTTATGCTCTGCCGAATACAGACTCTTACAATAATGTAATCGTTATTACTTTGTTTACAATAACTTTAAATAATAAACTATAAATATTTCTATTTGTCCCTGTTCCTTCTGTAAAGGCATGCATGCTGGTTACTTCATGGATTTTTGAATTTATGGATGTTATATACATAATAAATTAAACATAAGTATTGTTACTTTCATTTATTAATTCAATTTCGTGCTAAAATTTTCAATAAAAAACTATTCAGTTTACTCAAATCGATTCCAGTTCATTTCATTTAATATATTATACAAATAGGCACTTTATATGTCTATATTTATCTATATATGTTACTGAGGAATATATTATTTCATATATTATTTACAAATATTTTATTAAGTTAAAATAATAATTAATTACTATATTGCAAGATATTTACACTCCATAAATATGTACAATTTAAAGTCTATCTAACTGATTCGATTTTATATTTACAAATGCTTTATTAAATTAAAATAATATTTAATTACTATATTGCAAAATATCTAATTAGTATTTACAAATGTTTTATTAAATCTAAGAAGGTTTGTTTGTTGTTTTAATATTATTTACAAATTCCTAGAATAATCATTTCACTTATTCATTGAAATAATCTAATTTTGTTTTAATTATATCTATATTGTCGAACATATAGCACCTATTATAAAAACTTATGTTAAAAGGATAAGTATATCCTTTAATTTTAATTTTTATTACATCCTAACAATGCTTCTCATTTTAAATCCTTATTGAATGCATGTAGGTCTAGTGGTTACCTCACATGATGTAATTACAAGTTCAAACAATTTTCGGTATGCGTCAATCCATATTCAATTTGTTATGGATGCAATCTGCTGCCGATGTTCAGTATCATTTTGTGGTAAGAGTGCACCAGATAGAAGCAATGCAGGATTAGCCACGGCTATAATACTATCTCCTTTTGAAGCAATCACTTTTAATTTTGCTTCATCGCTGCATTCCAAAGGAAATTTCTTATTGTTTTCAAATGAAGTATCCTAAAAAGACCAATTGTTTCTTAGTCTCAAAAGTTTGATATAAGTAAATCATTTTTTGGAATTACCTCTTTGCCTTTTTTATTGGAAGTTTGGAATTTTTGAATCATGTCATTATCATTCTGTAAAAAAAAAAATACGTTCTGTATTCTTTTTATCAGGTTTATTATATATTATGTCATATAAAAATGAAATTATCTCACTTGATGAGGTGAGCTCGAATTGCTGTAAGAATATCTAGAATCTGTATCTTCAGAATCAGTCGCCCTCGTGCTGCAGTACCTTTAAAATTCATTTACAGTTTAAAATAAATAACTAATAAAATATAAATTTAAAACAAGCATTTTAAATCTAATACTTACATGATCTTGTTTTCACTGTTGTCAGAGCATGCTCGCTGTGGAAGTATCAACTGTGTTAAATCAGTAGCCATTGGAAGCTCATGATCGTCATTAGTATTCTGAATTAAATAAAATGTTAAAACAATTTAATAATATTTGTCCTATGTGAGTATAAATATGTTGAATAAAATATATTGCAGTTTTACAAGATAAATCAACTTCTGCTATAATACTGCAACCTGCTGAAATAGAATACAATTCCCTAGAATCAATTTTATTTCTTGTTTCGATTGAATGTGTTATGAGAAATGTATGAATCAAGTTTTATACAAATACAATTGAAATATAAGTATGTACAAAATATGAGCAAATTAGTATATAAATGACTTATCATTTACAGTCTAAAATAGTTAAGTTTTTATCAGCACCTTAAATTATTTACATAAACATGCACATTCTAATAAATATTTATTAAGGTGGAATTTCACTAGGTTAATGTATATCATGCATATTTTGATTCTATGCATATTTTAATAGACTAGTGCATGAAAGCCTAGAATTTAGCTTATAAATGTCTATGTTTAGTTCACCATGAGTTATTTAAAGTTGATAATATGGAAATTTTACAGCCATTGCATAAATCCAACTCAAATATATATACATTTGAAAATATAATTATATATAAATACTTGAGTTTGATATATATAAGCAGTTTTTTGCATCTATTTCTTCGATATAATATAAATAATAATGTGTGGTTCATGCTAATAATTTATATGCTATGATTAGAATATTAATATGTAGCATATAAATTATTGGCATATTCAGAAAAATTGAAAATATCTACAAATTTTATTTAACAATCCTTCAAAATAAATGCGGCCTTTTATGAAACGATATTTACATTCATAATTACAGCTTTTATTTTGAAATACGCGGAACATCAAGTTAAATACATTTTAATATGAAAATAAATTTATAATGATCTCTACTTAGCAATAAGCATGAAGAAAGCATGTGTTCAGCTACTTGCGTGCTTTATAGTCCTCCCAAGCTATTAAAAAGATTAAATATATTAAATATGTTATTATCTAAAATGCTGCAAAATTAGAAAAAAATGTTAAATGATTAAAATAATAGAAAATCATGCATATTAATTAGGACTTTTACAAATCCATTAGACTATCGTTTGTTAGTGTCATTCTCGCAGTTCGATTTCTCGCGGCGGGCGGGGCTGACCTGCCTGCAGGAGGTTACGGGCGGTTGGTGCCGGCCTGGTGACATGGCAGGCGACCCAGGCGACATCAAATCGCTATTTGATCGAGGTCGTTTAGCCGAAGGCGAACGCATGCTCGCATCGTGGTTGTTTTGCTGTTGATCTAAAGGAGATTCTGAACGCCTGAAAATAATAAATATTATTATAAATTTTGAATTGGATAAATTGCTAGATATAAGTCTTTTATCGTCTTACTTCATTCCGGCTAACGCGCCAACTCCTTGCCCCTGCGTTTGGCCTCCTGCGTTCATACCACCAAAACCAACTCCGACATTTGCATCCCTCACCAATTTTCTGGCTAAAGGAAACAGTTCATCTCTCCTCGTCAATAAAGCTGGTGCCCTCCTGCATAATTGTGCAGCAGCCTCATTGACGCAAGCTTCGTGCAGAGTCAGAGGTCTCTCTGGTCGGCGTTTGCAATCAAAACGACCGTAGATCGCCGCGTATTGGCGGACAAGCTGCATTTTTAGCGGGTCATCTAAACATTAAAATTTATTATTACACAACTAAAGTAAATCTATATATATATATATATATATATATATATATATATATATATACAGGGTCGGTCCTGCCTTGCATGTAATGCATGCAAAAAATGCGGGCGCATGCCTTAGGGGGCGCCAAAACGAGTTTTGAAAATTAAATTTATAATTCATTATTTATATTTTTATTATTTATATAATATCTAGAATACTTTATAAATTATAATAAACAATCTAACTTAAGAAGGGACACACGGAGACACAATTAAAGAGCATATTTAATTTGCAATGTGATCTGTAGAAACAATTAATCAATTAATAACTCTGCAAAATAGTAAAAAACAGCTCTGTTTATTGATTAATCTACATATTCTATTTTTGCTTTGTTCGAAGTTAACGTGGAATCAAAAAAGAAATTATCTAGTGTTCAATCCCATAAGCGCAAACCTGCGAAAGATTAAATGAATTATTGGACATTATTGATAAAAAATTGCTAGCTGATTTAGTTGAAACTTATTAAAAATATGAACAAATTATAATCGGGAAAATGAAAAATGGAGAGCCAGTGCTTAGAAAATTACATGTTTATTCCGAGAAATTGAATTGTAACTTTTGTTTGTGTTGCAAATGTTTTGCTTCTGATGAACTGAATTGAATGTTGAAGACATGCGTGGTTAGGGTTATGGAAATGAAACAAATATGAAAAATGGAAGCAAAATTTACTGTGAAACGAAAATCTTGAGCCTTTTTTTTATATTGAGTGGTGTCTATACTCCAAATTTAATAATTTAACTATGCAGAAATAATATATATCAAATATAATTAGTTATTTTTTTCAATATAGTTCAAGACATGTGAAAAATCTTTGCATTTTCTACTGATTTTTGGACAATACTTTTAAAATGCGTTAAAAATTTACCTTTAAAACAACAAACTGATACTCTGAATATGTCGAGAAAGCAAGGATAAATACAATTCGGCTCCTACTATATCAATAAGGAGAAGTTTACAACGCAATTTTAGATATTGTAAATGATAAAAAATTAAATTAAAATAAAATTTAAATAATCCAACATGAAATACGAGTATTATGAGTTCTAGTTTTTTTAGCTCTCTTATCATGATTTGCTCAATAGAATAAATCGCATAATAAATAAGAAACATGTTTTAAAACCCAAGTATTAATATTGCACATACGTTGAAAATAATTGAAAATTTAAAAATATTTGATTGAAATCAACCCGCGAATCGCCTCGATCTTCTAAATAAATTTAAAATCAATGTATTTTGTACGCTTTTAGATTATATCTAATTTTCCGCACTAAATCCAGAATAATTAAAAATTAATTTTTAAAAAATATGTAAATATTTATATAATTTAAATGATAAACTGGTAAAGCAGGAAAAATTAATGGGGGGGGCGCTAGAAAAAAAGTTGCATGCGGGCGCTAAGGACCCCAGAACCGGCCCTGTATATATATATATATATATATATATATATATATATCTACTAATATCACCGTCTGGCATATCCATGATGCGTTCGAGTTCCCTACAAACACGCTTCTTGTTGTTTGGCGGTCTCGGTTCTAAGGGTGGTAAATGCCTAGCTAAGCTCTCTGCTGCTGAAGCCAGACGAGTCATTACCAGTGAGGTCAACAATGCTCCTGATGCTAATTGGCAGCTACTTATGGTTGCTGGTGATGAAGATGATGCCGAAGATACGATATCATGGGCAGCAATACCTGCTGAATAATTTTTAATATCATTTTGCCATGAAGTGAGGGATCAATTATATTTTGTGCCACAAACCTGGAGATAGAGCCTGGTATCTGGTACCAGCACTGTCCGGGCTATCGGCTGCTCCCCTTAAATTTTCTGGCGTCAAAGCATGCTGCGCGATCGGCGGCGTTGTCACTGGTGTAATATTACCTAAAATAACGAAATGTATTATAATAAAATGTATTAATTGAGCATATTTTGAATATTTTTATTACTACCTGTGACGATATGTGATCGATTGCTGCTGGTAGGTGCGAGCAACTCATTAGCAGTAAGAGGTCTTCGAAAAAGTTCGGGATTTTGAACCCACTCATGAAGTGCCTTTTGTAATCTTCTAACATGCAGAGGCTTACTGGCCATACCAACTAAAGCCATAATTTCTAAAAATTCTTCTTCTCCTGCATCACACAGCTGTTGTAAATCATCTCCACCTGGGAAAAAGATAAATAATTAATATTTAATTGAAATATATAATCAAAAAAACATAGAATATTACATACCCATTTCCAGAAGCGTGTCATAGTAGGCTAGTAAGCTAGCCCTTTGCATGACTCGGTATAATTGCAACTCTGCTTCGTTGTTTGGTATTGAAGTTAAAATAGCTGCAAAAAAATAAATAAACATTTATATTAAATATTTAACTAAATTTAATAAAATTATAATATAAAATTCAAACATTTCAGCGAAAATGGTAGAATCGAATATTTTAAACATATAAAATTTGCAAAGTATTTTATAAAGTAAAACTTGTTTTCACATTCCCCAACCACCACGATTAGCAATTTTTTCCTGTATATTAATCATAAATAGATAATTTAAGTTTTGTTTATCCAAAAAATAATTTTTGAAACGGTTTTCATATAACCGTCGCCACTCAAGCCGATCGATGTTGAGCAGGTCAGGGAAAGAGATGGCGCCAAGGGTTGACGATCAGGGGGATGATATTGTTTGAGAGTCAGATGAATGGGATAAGAACTAAATATAAAGGATAAAAAATCGGTCATCGCAGTGCTGGGCAGTAAATAAAACCTCGACATAATTACATATAATTTATTGTAAACATTGGAAACCGCATTTTATCCGCATTTTAACTTTTTTACTTCTTGTTACAATATCGTTTACAAAAATGTTTACTTTATATCTGAAAATAAATGTATTTAGTTTTTGAAGTAAAACTTCTTTAGGCGCGACTAGGGTGTAAATCCGTACAAATGCAACGGAAGTACGTTACGGCAGAGTCGAGTGACAATGATTCGTCATTCGCTTTCGATGATATCATTTCTATTCGGGTCGATTGAGATTAGTCGTCGCGTATGTAAATGAAGATCTGTCGTTGTATGCGTACCGGCGTCAACATTGTATGCGTACCGATATCAAGAAGGAAATCGGCATAGATAAATAAACATTTTAAAGTTCCATCGTAGTACAAATCTTGATTTATTGAAAAATGTCTGAATCAGAAGAATTTTTTACTCTGTCGCCCGTAAATAATTATAATGAAAATAATAAAACAAATGCAGCGTTTGCGCCGTGTATGAAACATAAGTCTATTGAAATAATTTCTATATTATTCGTAGTTTCTATAAATCTTTGAAATTATTAAGATGGAAAATATTTTTAGGCAAGACAGATATTGCAGCTGTTCAAAGAATGAGATTATATCACCAGCGAAAAAGTAAAAAAAAACAAGCAGTAACACAATTACATGATGAGTGAAGTTGCAAAAACAATATTTGTTTAGGCGTCGATTAACATAATCCACTGTGTGAACGAATATTATAGTAGTTATTAATCAGCAATTACTTCATTTGATTTTAAATATTATACATATTTTCAATGCTATTATAAATATATAATTTATAATTTATCGTTATATAAATGTGTGTAATGATTGACACTAATAAATGTGTGCATCAGGAGTGTTACTATTTACATTAGTTACATTACTAATAAACATTATTCAAAATTGTTATATGATGTAATTATTTTTACTTAAATGCCATCTTGTACAGTAGCAAATAAGTTTTACTTCAATCGCCTGTGAACCTTACGCGCACTCCTTTTTTCTGTTAAATTTGTTTTTCATGAACTATGTTGGTATAATTTATGTATCATTGTTGTGTGTATTATACATACTTTAAAGTTTTTGAGTATTCTTTGACCAGCTCTTCCTTGAGATATTTCTAAATATTATTTAACCCTAATTACAGTATTTCTTAATAATTATATTACTATACTAAGTAATTATAAATCCTTCAATTCCAAGTTGTATTATTGCACTTATTACAATTACATCAAATAATTTTCTCTATTCTCATCTTAGATTATTATTTTGTTTTCATCTTATCCCATTACTTTGGCATGTTTTTATTCATCTACCACCATTTTCATGTAGCTTATGATAGGGAATTTATTTACCTACAATAACAGGATTAAATGTAAAAATTCAAAATTTTAAACATCGTATCTGATAACTTCGATATATTCTTATTTATCCATTAGCAATTCGATGTATTGTCGGTCATGGGTTATGAACATCTCTACGAGATGGACTTTATTTTCTTGCAAAGCTTTTTGTTTAGTTCGTTTTCTGTATTTTCGTTCTCGTTCTTATTCTTCGGAAGAAAAAGCCGAAAATCGTAAAGGAGACAGGATATAAAACGCATATAGACGCAGACGCTCGGCGCCAGACCTGGAGTCGGCGAGGATGGCGAGCTTAAAGTTTTTGCAAGTTCGGAAAACAACCGTGGTCTATACGAAAATATTCAGAAATATATATATATATATATATATATATATATATATATATATATATTAGGGTGGTCCTCAATATAGACATTTTCGAATTTCCTTGCTCCAAAGGTTCAAGTGGTTCCAAATTGATAAAAAACAAATCTCTGAAAGGTTTAGCTCTTAATATTAACTTTTAGATAGTGCGCAATTCAATCAAACTTCGTATAGAAATAGCATGGAAAAAGTTTTGAAAATTAAAAAAAAAGTTTTTTAGGTATAACTCAGCGACAAATAAATTAAAAGTGAAAATTCGTGTCATTTTTTATTAAAAATTCGACGCTCTGCAAAATTTTTGAAAAATTGTTCATGCTATTTCTATACAAAACTTTGATTGAATTGCGCTCTATCTAAAAGACAATATTAAGAGCTAAAACTTTCAGAGAATTGTTTTTTATCAATTTGGAACCATTTGAGCACTTGGGAGCACGGAAATTCAAAAATGTCCATATTAAGGACCACCCATATATATATATATATATATATATATATATATATATATATACATTCATGTGGTAATATTATTTTATATAAAAATAAATTTGCATTGCATATATTTCATGTATTTTGTTTTACAAAAAAGCAAAACACCTGAGCGTTTTTATAAAACGGTTAACCCATTGTATAACGAACTCTCCCAGACAATCGAGCTGAAGAACGCACGTTGCACATTTTTTTATAATTCATTTAATTTTTATTTTATCATCACGAGCTTCTACATTTGTACGATTGGAATCTGATATATAAAAAAACTTTTGTACGCTTTTGCTCAAGACACTGAGGTTCATTTTTAATTAACTTAACGAAGAAGAAGTTTGTTTTCGCAGGAAATCCGATTTTAAGTTTTCTCTAATTTTATGTTTACTCGACGTTACATTTACACATTTTTGTAGTTTTGAAGCGTTTGAGACCGAATTTGGAAAAAGTATGTATGAAGGCATCTTATCTTATCTTAAATTATTATCTAATTATATCAAATTAAAATATTATCTATCATATAAAATATTACTTTTACTTTTATCAAATTTTACTCTTATTAAATTTTACTGTTACTAAATCTTACTCTTATCAAATTTCAATCTTACGTTTACTCTTATGAAATTTTATATATATATATACAATTTTTTTAAAGTAAACATTTCAAAAAACACTTTTTTAAATATAAACACACACAGATATATATATATATATATATATATATATATATATAAATGTGTATATATTATATTACTATGTATGTGAGTATCAGTTTTTATTTAACTACACTAGAAAATTTTAAGGGTAGTTCTATGTTAAGACACACCCATGATCCCTTCCCGGGTTGGACAAAAATTCGGTTGGGGTTTCATTTTTTTTGTGACCCGAAATAAGGGTGAGTAACGAACTTTACACTGGTTTTTGATAAATAAATTAGACAAGGGATTCATTGAATACATATATATATATATATATATATATATATATCTTGTATGATTCTGAATTTAATGTTGACATATGTATTAACAAAGTCTAGTAATCGGGTATAACATCAATAAAAAACAAGAATTTCTTTCAAAAATTTATTTTAAATCCATACGTTTCGGCTATAATCCTAGCCTTTATTTAGGGGAAAAATTAGTTGAGCTTAATATTAATTTTTTTTTCCAAGAGAAATTATTTTGATAAAACAAGCAGAAAGTTCTTTGAATCATACAAATCGGACGCTTAGTTCTCTCAAAAACTGTCATTTTTTGCACATTTTGCTCTGTATCTCCGAAACCGCTGTACCTGCCTTTGCCAAAAACTAATCATCCCTTCTCCCTGTTATTACGAATTGAATGCTTTTTAGATCATTCAAATCGGATGCTCCGATCTCTAAAAATCTCGATTTCTATTTTCTGCACTCTTTGCTCCGTATCTTCAAACAGGTGAACCTGTCTTTGCCAAAAACGAATCAGCACATCTCCCTACCAATAGGAATCTAATGTTTTTTTAACTTTTCAAATCGGTTGATCCGTGCGCCCGAAAACGTGGATGAAAAATTGTATCCATACATGCACACACACATCCATTTTTTCTGAGGTATGCCAAAATGTTCAGAAACCTTCAGAACGTGAAGAAATGTAAAAATTTTCAATTTCGATTTTTGGACGATTACAATAACTTACCCTACGGGAAGTTAATAATATATTTAAAAACAAGGTAAACATTAAAATAAGATAAATATCGCAAGATCAAAAGCCACGTAAAATAAATAATAATAAAACTTCATATTTGCAGGCCTGGTCGTAAACTCCTAAGTATATCATCTTATATGTATATCCCTTAAATTCTCTATAATTTCCTCGAAGCACGTATTAGGTGCCCCGTCACAATTTTACGTCCATTAAAAAAATCGCTTATGCAAAATAAGTCTCAAAACTGGTCTAGCGATCACAAAAGGGTGATTTTTTTCATCAACTTTGGGTTTTGTTAATGATATTCACGGATAATTTTTTTTGTCTTACCTTCATGATAATCCCGAACAAAAGCTAAAATATTGGAGCAAAACTTTGTCATAAAAACAATTATTCCCATGGACTAGCACAAGCAGGCAGATGATAGGAAAATGACAATATGCAAATTTTTCGTGTACGAGTTTTTCTAATTGTCTTCGAAATTTTTTGTTCGGACAATTTGTGCGTGTGAACTATGAGGATAAAGGATTTATTTGGGATAAGGAAAATAGTGGTGTTTAGAAAGTAAAAAAGTGTAAGTATCTACCAATTGTACCAACCTTTAACCAAACGTTAGCTATGATACTTTAATTTGATTTTTTCTACTTCCCGTCCCG